CGGGCCTCGGGCGACCCGCCACCGCCTCCGGCCGGCCAGCCCCCGCCCGCCGGCCGCTGCGCCCTGTCCCTCCCCCCCGATGGAGAACGGCGGCGGCGGCAGCGGCGGCGGCTCCCGGGTCCAGCCGGGCTAAGGCGGGAGGGCGGCGCGCCCCGCCGTCGGCTCCGAGTCCCCCGCGATGGTGAAGAATGCTGGCGCCGCACCATGAAGCTCCTGCGGCAGGCTCCTCCGCAGCCCGCCCGGAACGCCGCCCCGCTCGCCTGCCTCGCCTGCCTCGTGGCGCAAGCGTGGCTGCTGGCGTGCGCCGTGGCGGCCAGGCCCGGGCCGCAGAGCTGCCCCTCGGTCTGCTCCTGCAGTAGCCAGCTGAGCAAGGTGGTGTGCACGCGGCGCGGGCTGGCCGAGGTGCCCCCGGGCATCCCCTCCGGCACCCGCTACCTGAACCTGATGGAGAACAGCATCAAGGTGATCCAGGCGGACACCTTCCGCCACCTGCACCACCTGGAGGTGCTCCAGCTGGGGCGCAACGCCATCCGGCAGATCGAGGTGGGGGCCTTCAACGGGCTGGCCAGCCTCAACACCCTGGAGCTCTTCGACAACTGGCTGACGGTGGTGCCCAGCGGGGCCTTCGAATACCTCTCCAAGCTGCGGGAGCTCTGGCTGCGCAACAACCCCATCGAGAGCATCTCGTCCTACGCCTTCAACCGCGTCCCCTCCCTCATGCGCCTGGACCTGGGCGAGCTCAAGAAGCTCAAGTACATCTCCGAGGGGGCCTTCGAGGGGCTCTACAACCTGAAGTACCTGAACCTGGGCATGTGCGCCATCCGGGAGATGCCCAACCTCTCCCCCCTGGTGGGGCTGGAGGAACTGGAGATGTCCGGCAACACCTTCCCGGCCATTAAGCCGGGGGCCTTCCACGGACTGAAGTCGCTCAAGAAGCTGTGGATTATGAGTGCCCAGATCAGCGTCATCGAGCGCAACGCCTTCGACGACCTGACGGCGCTGGTGGAGCTCAACCTGGCCCACAACAACCTCACCTCTCTGCCCCACGACCTCTTTGCCCCGCTGAGGTACCTGGTGGAGCTGCACTTGCACCACAACCCCTGGGACTGCGACTGCGACATCTTGTGGCTGTCTTGGTGGCTCCGGGAATACATCCCCACCAACTCCTCTTGCTGCGGGCGCTGCCATGCCCCCACGCACATGCGGGGCAAGTTCCTGGTGGAGGTGGACCAGACAGCCTTCCAGTGCTCGGCCCCCTTCATCCTGGACGCCCCTCGGGACCTCAACATCTCGGAGGGGAGGGTGGCCGAGCTCAAGTGCCGGACCCCCGCCATGTCCTCCGTGCGGTGGCTGCTGCCCAACGGGACGGTGCTGAGCCACGCCTCCAATCACCCACGAATCTCCGTCCTCAACGACGGCACCCTGAACTTCTCCCAGGTCCTCCTGACGGACACAGGCACATACACGTGCATGGTGACCAACGTGGCAGGGCACTCCAACGCCTCGGCCTACCTCAACGTGAGCACGGCGGAGCTCAACACGTCCAACTACAGCTTCTTCACCACCGTCACGGTAGAGACCACCGAGACGTCACCCGAGAACCTCTTCCCCAAGCTCACCAAGCCGGTGCCCACCACCTCCACGGGCTACCAGCCGGCCTACACCACCACCACCACCGTGCTCGTCCGGACGACCAAGACGCCCAGGCAGGACGCCGCCCTGGACGGCAGCGACAAGACGCAGACCAGCCTGGACGAGGTGATGAGGACCACCAAGATCATCATCGGCTGCTTCGTGGCCGTGACCCTCCTGGCGGCGGCCATGCTGGTTGCCTTTTACAAACTCCGCAAGCGCCACCAGCAGAGGAGTACGGTGGGGGCCGCCAGGACCGTGGAAATCATACAGGTGGACGAAGACATTCCGGCGTCTTCGGCGGCGGCAGCGCCCACCACCGGCGCCACCGCCACCCCTTCGACCGCGTCCGGCATGTCAGGTGAGGGGGCAGTTGTGCTGCCGGCTATTCATGACCACTACAACACTTACAAACCCTCCCAGGGGGCCCACTGGACCGAAAACTGCTTGGGGAACTCCCTGCACCCCGCGGTCACGACCATTGCCGAGCCGTATATCATACAGACCCACCCCAAGGAGAAAGTGCAGGAAACCCAGATCTGACTCCTTCCCTCCGGCCCCCCCTCCCCTGCCATGACTAACTCAATGCAATAGGATGCACAACAGACAACACCAACTTTCATGCCCAGAGGGAGGAGGGCAGCCCCCCCGCCCCCCCTCCGCTCCCGTATGTGCTTCTATCCTTAAGTCTCCGGCCGACAGAAGCAGCGGATTCTGTTCGAGTGTAAAACAAAAAAAAAAGGCTCTTTTCTAACTTGTGAGCTGGATTGGGAAGGAAGCGTAACTCCGGGTCCCTCGACCCCCCCCTCCCCCTCCCCCCAGGGACAGAGGCACAGATCCCCACGGAGGGTTTTCGGCATCAGACCTATTTAAAGCAGAACCGTAAGCCGCCCTGCTTGCTCCCAAAGACAGTGGCTGGCGGAGAAGAGAAAGCAGAACCTTTCAAAACCAAGGAACGGAGGGGGGAGGGGGGGGGGGGGGGGGGTGGGAGTCGTCCTTTTTAGAAGATGTTACTTAGAATGCAGTAAAAACAAACCCGTTTCTATAGAGACGCTCTTTCCTTAAAGCCTTGGGAAAAAGCCGTCTCCATATTTACAGTTATCTTATTTCAAAAAGAGGAAAGAGGGGTGGGGGGGGGGGGGTGCACTGAGGGTTTGTACTGTGCCAAATGTTACAAATGCAATAAAAAGGTCATTTTTATTTATTTCGTTTTTTAAAGACAGTTACCGGAAGGGAATTAAATACTTGTATCAAACTGCAAAAAAAATTAAACCAGCAAGATCAATTGCTCTGTCCTCTCTCGGTGAGGATGGGGGGGGGTGGGGGGG